GTGCCGGCGTCGAGGACCGCTTCTCCGGTCATGCACGGATGGAGGGGGTAGTTATGGGGCTGGGGAAAGGGGTCACGGCCACGCGCCCGGGGCTGAGCTCTGCGGGGCATGCAGGGAAGCGGGACGTCGAAAGGGAGCGCGAGGGAACTGGGCTGGAGGACGCCCGGCAGACGGCTGCTTTTCCTTGCGCCGGGAGAGGAAGGTGCCACCGAGCTCACGGCTCCCTGCCGCCCCCTGGCAGCACCACCGATGTATTCCTGCAGCCGCAATAAAGACTTAAAAAAGCACCCTCGCTGCTGCTGGAAAGGCTTTCTGCACCCCTGGGGTGGTGGGGAGGGCTGGGAAGGGGCACAGCCCCAGCTCTGCAAGCAGGAGGAGGAGGAGGAGGAGGAGGAGGAGGTCCCAGCTCTAGTCCTGGGAGCTAACGGTCTAAAAAATTAAGCAAGAACACTGAAAACATTCATCAACTGCCCCCAAAGATGGCTCTCTGTGGGTATTCAGATATTCAGCTAGCTGGAGGCACTAGCCCATCACCTGAGATGGGGCCTCTGGGCACCCCTGCAGCCCTGGCTTCCCCGCTCCGTACCCCAAACCCCGCTCCCCTGCCCGTGTGAGACCCCCGCAGCCTCCCCAGCCGCCTGCCAAGCTGAGCCCTGCCAAGCACCGGCTGAGTTTTGGGGGTGCTGCGGGCAAAGCGGCCCCAGGTTGAGAGGCAGGAAGATGGCAAACCCAGCCAGGAAAACGATGGGAAAAATCCCCCAAGCCCAAATTTGGTGTTTTTTGGCAGGAGAACAAGATCTAAATATACTAAGGAAAGCAGATAACGATACCTTGGCACGCAGAGCTGCGCCGTGCAAAGATGAACCAGCAAATTAAAACAGCCCGTACTGTAGCAATAAAACACGGATGGGCTGAAGTGATGGTCAAAGGAAAACAATAAATGAAATAAAGGGATACAAAAGGAGCAACGGCCTTACCAACGGGGCAGAGGGCCTCCATCCCAAAAGGGAAAACTCTGCAAGGCGCAGAGGATTAATGGGCAGAAGCGGGGGAAATAAATTTGAAGCTAATTAAGGCCCCAGGCTTTGCGGGCAGCGTTAGCAGTTGAGTTGCCACACTCACCTGACCTGACCATAAGCGAAAACGAGAAGAAACCCCCTTTCGTGTTGGTTCCTCTCTGTACTGGGGAGCGTCAGTAGCCCCCAGGTCTCTGCTCGGTTTCCCCACGATGAGAGACTTGAGGTGGATTTGGCTGGCATGGCACGGGATGGAGGGGGGGATTGCGCCCTGGGCTGCAGGCAGGTCGGTCCCTGCCGGTGTCCCTCCGGCAGCCACAACGCCGACAACCTCATCTCCGGAAAGATGGGGGGATCAGCAAAGACCGTCCTCCTCCCTCCCCACCCGGGAGCCTGCGGTGGACGCTGACGGTGCTCCAGAGCTGCCATCATCGCTCAAACCATTTCCTAGCAAACACATCACCTGGGCCACCGCCTTTGACCGCGGCTATTTGCTAGCGAAGTTACCTAAGGATCGTGCAACCCCCGTGCTCCGGGGTTGCTGAGACCCCGAAACCCTGCTAGAAACAGAGTGGGGACCACGCTCGGATGCTGCCTGCATTTTGGCTTGG